GCTGGGGAGGCTTGTTGGCTGCGACTTGAGCTCTGAAAGGTCTCTGAGGCTAGTGTGGAATAGGTAGTCTGTAACTGAGACATCTTACATCTCCCTGATAGTTGACCACACGGCTATCGCCGTCCTTGAGCTGCAGCCAAACACACCCCGATTCCAGACACACAGCCGTCTCACACTCCGACGAACACACACTATCATATTGCATAAACCAGATTAATCCACTTAATTAAACAGATAATGCGCATTGCAAAACACATACATGTGACCCCAAGAACTCATTGGCTGAGACATGATAGTGAAATAAATAAGTAAATAAATATGTCTATCTATCTATCTATCTATCTATCTATCTATCTATCTATACACCACTGTAAAAAGACTGTAAAAAATGGTGACAATCTGGCAGCAAGGGTGCCAGAAACAAGGACGTTAAGAAACAGTGTAAGACTGTAATGTTCAAAAACTGTGAAAACTGCCAAAATAATGACAGACATCTGTGAAATAATAACAATTTTAGCTGATTTAAACACAGCAAAATTGTGTCATTTCATGGCCACACATAGTAAAAGAATAAATTATGATTTGTAAAAAATACAGATTTTTCATTGTGGAGATTATATTCGGTTTTGGCCTGTTTTTGTTTGTTTGTTTGTTTGTTTGTTTGTTTGTTTGTTTTGTCTTTTCTTTCACAGACAAAATGCAAATTCAAACTTTTTTCTGTAATTTTATATTATTTGTAATTTAGCAAAACAGCTAAAATCCATCATTTACTATTTTTCAGTATGTATATACATAAATCTACAGGGTGATACATTTAAACATAAATGTAGAAGGAAGGTGTTACTCTACATAGAATACATATTTAAGTCATGTCTGTAATGCTTTTTAATTAATAAAGGCACTTCTCACAGTAGGCAGAGCACTGATTTTCAAGAATGATTGGTCTCCAATGAATTATCTTAAATTCCAAAGAGCTGGTGTACTTTTGGTATGCACCTGCACCATCTGCCTGCAGGAATCGGAGACCCTCAGAGGGCTTTGACTAATCCTGAGTGCTCGGTTGTCATTTGAAATATTCGTGAAGACAGAACTGTAAAACTGCGGTCACACAGCAGGACCTGCTTTTCATACAAGTCTCCTCCTGTTGCCTGGGCAGGCTGTGTGGAACAAGGTGGAGGACTGAGTTCAATGAGTGCTGGAGCCTTTGAATCAGGCAGCAGCAGCTTTAGTTAGCTGGAAGGTAAGACAGTTACTGCACGGTGAGTGGGCTGTTTAAGGTTGAGCAGATACATTTTCCTTCTACCACACAGTTAAAAAAAAATAAAATAAAATCTGTTAATACTCAATGAAAATTTGGTGGCAAGAAAGCCTGAAAAATATGTTAAAAACTGTGACATTCTGTAACATTCAAAAACTGTAAAACATGGGAAAACAGTTTAAAAGATTATCTATCATTTTCCAATCCTTAATATACTTTTTTTTTTTGTTCAAATAATGAATGAAAATTGCTAAAACATTCTCTCTCTTTTTTTTTTTAGCAGCTGAGAGCGAAGAAGGCTCTACTTCTGTTTTCACTAACAGAGGTTAAATTAGCCAAACAGTCAATTGCCTGCTGCACGACACTAATGGGAAATGAGGAAATAAATTTAGACTAATTTTGAATGATTATGTTTGCTTCTCTTGAAACCTTAAAGGACGGCGATATCACACACAGTCCAGTCACTGAGGAAACATGCAGGGAGGGTGTGAAAGCAGAAGCTCCACTGAATCACTGGTCATTTGTGCTCTACAGAGCTCTGATGACAGGCCGGTTGTTCCTCATGCAGGGGGGAAAACGAAAACCCAGCGCCGCTACAAGGACACTCACAGTCAGGGGGCTGTTATTCTAAAACGCTGTCCTCAGTTCTCCAAAAAGATTACACCCAACACCACCTATCAGGAACAGTTGTCTTCAGCATGCATGTCAAACTGTAAACTAACACAACTGAAGTGCAACCTCTAACGTATGCTGCTAATTCTTTGCTCAGGTGTGACAACGGTGAGGTTTTTCAAGTCACGGGAAAGTACAGAAACACCATTGATACAAATCTAATTACAATGAGATATGTTAAAATATTGCAATGCATATGTGATATGAAGTGGTGGAATGTGCCTTAAACTAAGTTGAATAACATTATTTTACTCTGGTATTTCCAGTTTATGAAACTTGACTGCAGCATGGTCTTTGCAAATTCAGAATAAAACAAAATCTAATATGAATAATGATCCACCTACCCAAAGCAGTTTAAAATGTGAATGCTTACAAATGGATGCATCATAATATAATATACCACTCCTACTAATATTGTTTATATATTTTATACATTGTGCTTTTACTTTCCTCGTGACATTGTATTTATACACTGTGGTTTGGCCTCTGTTTCTGAAGTAAAAGATCAGACTTCTTCGTCCACCACAGCTGACACATGATGTACATGTGACAAACATGTCTTCATCGCCACACCCTGCTGTTACCATGCTACCATCAATACAGGTTTAATTATAAAACACCCTGTCACAATCTTTCCGGCCTCGAAATCTTAAAGTATGTGGCTATTCTCAGAGCCCACAGACAGAGTGACATAAGAGAAAAACACGACACCTACAGTTAACGCCAGTATCGCCTTAACAAAGGTCCTGTGCAGCAAAAATGTTTCACTTATCTTACTCAAATTCCCGTTTTACTGACACTAACAATGTAGATGAAAGCTAATATCGGCGAGGAATGGCCACACACACACACACACATACACACACACGACGGTAGCTTACATCAATTCCACAGACGTTTGCATTAACCTCCACATGCCTTACCGTAACCCTTATCTCATCCTTACCCTCGTTCTAATTCTAAACTCATCCCCCTCTAACACATTAACGCACAAAGAGATGGTGGAAAGTGGTGAAACCTGACTGGGAGCCAGTGTTGATTTGCACTGCTGCCAATATCTGACCAGCCCGTCTGTCAGTCAATTAAACTGGACACGGTGCAGCCATCCGCCGGCAATAAATAGACCATGGGAGCCCAAAAAAAGCTACTGCAACGTGGAAACTGCGGCTCCTACAACTGCTGGGGAAACATGACAGTGAGCAGGTTTAGGGAGTGATAAGGACATTACAGCTGAGGCAGCGCGAACAGGAAATCATTCAGAGGCATTTATACAGTGTCGGCTGAAACACAATCAAAACCAGACACATTCAAATCACAAGCTTTGTAAAACTGCCAGTTCTCGTAAGCTCCTTTTGGGGACGTTATTCGTAACACAGACAATTGCACGGTCGGATAGACTTGCAGTAGATCATGCAAACATGTCGCAAACAGCAGGAGGCACCTGCTTTGCCGAGTAATTTATTAAGGTCTAGTGTCTATGATTGGATTTCTGCTAGATGCCAATAGTGTAACCTGCTCCTACAGTGGACATCCCAGGAGGGTGATGTGAAAAGTTTGTGCCTGCCAGTACAGATCCTGAAGTGAGCGCCACTCACGAGAGGCATTTCACCCTCAGATTCACTTTTGCTAATGTTTTTAAGAGGAAGGATTTGTTAGGTTTATGTCTAGAATATCTTGAGCTTAACATTTGAATTAGGCAGGTAGTTTTGTAATGTTGATCTTATATCTCTACTAGACTGTTAGGGAATGTCGTTTTATAGACTTCTGCAATGTGTTTTAATAGACTTGTTTTTGTACGTTTTACTCAAATTTTTGTTCCGTTGTTTTCTAATGTAATGCATCCTGCACTGCACTGTAATGACAATAAAGCTTCTAATTCGAATAAAACTCGGAAAGCATTTTGGGTAATTGTCTGCAGTTATACTTAAAAATAACTGTAACTTGACTTTATGAAAAACTCTCTTTTCCAGCTGGCTGAGGTTTTGCTGTAATGTGCAGAAACTGACCAATACTGTTTTCTTGAGCTGTCACTTGATTTGCGTTCGAATGACAAACTCCAGCTGGCACGAGACCCTTTTACCTACAACCACAGCTGCATGTCCTGCTAAAAAAAAAAAGAGCTGCACACTGAAGTAGTTGCTGCAGTTAGACTGACTCACACTTTCACGTGTGAACTGATATGTGCTTCTTCTTTTGTTTTTCTGCCTCGTTTCATTATCATATTTTCTCGCAGTTTCTCGAGAGGAAAAACTACAAGGAAAAAAAACAGGCAGGTGCTCACACTTCTTGTGCAATTTTGAATGAATGTTAATTGTGTCTCACTTCTGGAAGAACTTCATAATAAAACCTACATCTTCATCTTACACGACAGCAGCCTGCCAACTATCTCTCCCCTGAGCTCTCCGAGGTGGGGCGTTGGTTCTGTCTCAAGTAGCTCCTCATTCCAGTGTTTATAGGCCTTATATTTTTATTTACACCCTCTCGTCTTTATATAGTTTCGTTGGGTAATCATAAAGTCCCGTGGAGTGGGAGAGGTCGCCCCTTGCCTTCATTTTTCCATGGAAGCCACCGTTTTTCCCCTTCACCGGCTGAGAACAGGAATCCACCTCTCGTTGCATACAAACTGTACAGCAGCTTCTGAATAGTGGAGTGCAGTGTTGGCTACTTGGTAAATATTACAGCCTCTTTTAAATTTAGGAAAAAGTGATTCAGACATTTATGTCATGGAAACCGTGGAGCCGAAGCTCTGGCCCTCATCCTGCATCCTGAAAAACTATCACTCCCCCCTTTTCATTTTCACTTACAAAGGTCAAGTCATGCTGCGGTGTGACTCTCGCCGTCTTTGCTGCGATGATGTCAGGAGGTTGCTCTGACAGGTTTTCGAGTGAATGTCACACTTTCACACAACTTTCCTTTATGATGTGAGGAATGCAACACACCCCTTTCACACACACGCTGAGTGCACCCACATCTACAACGTTATTCATGTTATTATGATCGCCAAATTCTCAAACCAAGCTCTATTACTAAATGAAAAATCAGAACCCAACACTCCCTCCCCTCACTTCACCTGGTAGATGAGGACTTTGAAGTTGCGTCTCTTGAGCAGCTCGTTCTCGTTGCTCTCCAGCTTCTTGATCTGGCCCGCCTGCTTCTCCAGGTTGCAGCGCACCGTCTTGACGTTGACGCTGACCTTGCGCACCTTCTCCAGCATTTTGTTGACGGTGTTGGCCGTGCCGACGTGGTTCTTGGACAGCTTAGCCAGCTCCCCTTGGATGGTTGACACTGACTTCTCCATGGCCTCCTGCCGGGCCTCGAGCCCGTTCTGGGTCTGCTGGATCTTGTCCACCACCCCGATGATCTTGTCCAGCAGAGACAGGACCATGACGCCGTTCATCTGAGCCTCGCTCTTGTCTCCGGAGCCGGTGGCCAGCACCAGGTCCACCTCCTCTGCGGGGTCGTCGTCATCCACCGCCGGCTCAGTGGCAGCACCCACCAGAGCGACCTCATCATCATCGTAAGACACTTCTGCAAGGGCTGCATGCTCCTTCTTGACACCTGTATCCGCCATAGCTGTCAACTCTGAATACAAACACTCACTACAGTTAAAAATACACTACTGGAAAACTATCTACAGGAGCAGCGCTGCACAAAGCTCAGTCCCTAATACGTTCTCCTTCCTTTAAAACAACTTTCTTGATCACTTTGTTTGCCTCTTTCTCGTCAGCTTTTAATTTCTCTTCACCCTCGGTCTCTCACACTCAGCCCTCTCTGTCTCTCTCTGCTCTGGGATGCCAGCCAGCCAAGGGGAGTTGGGCCTCTCACAGCTGAAGCATGTGTGCCCTGACTCAAATGCCTCTGCTCCCTGTGAAACCACCCAGTCAGACTTTTCCCTTCTTACACCAGGCCTCCACCCACGGCTCCCCCTGCTGCCGGGGCTCCACCCCACCGTGTCCCCAAGTACAGGGCAGAATATCTGCAGGCTCCACCTCTAATGGGGACATGACACTCCTCTCCAACAGGGAAAGGTGAGGGCCACTAGAGGCAAGAACACAAAAAAGCACATCAGTTCAAACCAGTCTCTTAAATCATAGCCACTCTGCTGTCAATCTAAAGAAAGAAAGACAAACATAAAAGGTAAATCAACACTTTAACATTTTCTCCTGCCTGTAAATTACAACATTTTCTTGTTTTAAAAATGTATAAAATGTAATTGCAAAACTATACCAAAAATAACAATGTGTCTTTAATATCTATAATCCAGGATTAAGTCCTACCAGCTCTGCTTAACATTCAAAAATGCTGATGGCACTACATACCTGAAGCAATAAAAGATGAGGAAAGTCACATTTTTATAGACTGGAAACATTTATTCAAAGGCTGCAATGTATGATAAATTGTCGTCTATTAAATGTATTATAGGAACCAAAGACAAATAATTTACTCACTGTATTAAAAAATAAAAAAGAGAGCGAGCGAGAGAAAAAAACGGTCAAAAAAGGTCAAAAAAGCTCAAAACTATCAATATTGTTCTTAGCTGCCTAAATCAAGTCATGGCGATAGCGGTGTTTTGCGAACCATTGTGTGAACATTCAGTTCATTCTGCCAGTTTCTACAATAACCTGCTGTTACTGATCAATCTTGTTTTGGCGCCAAAAAGCATAAAATGTTATGTTTTTAACAGTATTTTGGAAAAACAGTACATAACTATTAGAATTTGGTCATATTTTACAGTAAAATATTACAGTATATAGTTCTCATCACTGTCATATGTTGTGTTGACTTGTGAAAATATTTGCTTCCAAACTAAAAAGCAGTTAATATCACCTAACTCCTCTGTTTGACTCAGGAAATCCAAAGCAAACTTGATAATGCAAATTCTTGAAAAACGTGGTCATGCTATTCAAACATTGGGACTGTTTCACAAAAATAAATGACATTTTATGTAATTTAGCAAGTTTAGGGGGTAAAAACATTTAATTGAGCAGGAAGAACATTAAGTTACCACACTAATTAAATTTTTTTAAAATACAAAATGTGTCAATGATTTCATTGCATTGTCCTCAGTCTATTTTGAAAGTACACACCAGGAAAAACAAACAAACAAACAAACAAACAAACAAAAAACGTTATCTGGTCTGCATCAAGGTTGACTTGACTAACAGAGCAGTTCCTCGCTGGGACCACTAGAGGGCAGTAAAAAAACTCATGATTTCTGTTTAGCAGCATCTTCTCTGGTCAACAGAATGGTATTTACAGGCTACTGATTTAAATGTATGGACATATTTTTGTAGTTTATTTATTTTAGACTTCATATACACATATTTTTAACTTAGTTTATGATTCTCTTTCTGGTCAGTCATGGACCTGCTGGGTGAACACCTTGAGCAAGCAGATTAATTTAGACTGGACTTCCCAAACAGGTCGTTAACACATTTATTACATTTATTATAGTATTATTTTATCCATCTTCCCTTACTTCCTTGACTATCACAGTGTTCTGCGGGGCCTCGGACCACTTAGACAAGCTGTGAAGGTCTCGTGGGGTCATGAGCGAACGCTGAGCTCAAACTGCTACCTTAAAGTTTGTCCACCAACAGATAGTCTCGCTTTGTCCGAAGACCTTTTCTGGACAAGAAGCCGTTTGCTAGCAAACTATGCTAATGTAGCTTTGAGTTTAACCGCCCTCTGGTGGCCACAATGAGTAACTACAACTACATTCACTGACGTCAAGACAGACTCAAGAATACTGAGGTGCTTCCGGTTGAAACATAAAAATTAGCACAGAGAAGCGTTATCCAAGTATGCAGCATCAATTTTAATACGCTTTTACAAATGCTATTTTGAAATGCTAACTCTTGTGATGGATATTTAAAAAGAAACTTACCCAATATGATAAATTTCAGGACTGCAGCCTACGGAGATGGAGTTCGCCATTTATGGCTAAAAATGTTTATTTTACCAAAAACACTACTTATGGTGGAAAAACAATTTCCTCGTAAAGTAGGGCTTACAGTTTTAAAGGTTTTTTTTTCTTTTTTCCCCATACAAGAAGTACATTTTAAAGGAAGAGTTATGATTTTAAAGGTTTATTCCACCCAAAATACTACTCATAGTTTGAAGTTTATTTTATCAATGTTCTTATTCTTAACAAATCTTTATTCCACCCAAAACTATGCTTAGCTATTTTTTTTTATTTTGCTATTGTTTAGTGGTTAACAAAGCTAGCTTTCTTTTGGAGCAAACAAGTGGCAGCCATGTTCTGTGGTTTAAAAAGAATTATTGAAAAACTGGGGTCTTAGAAATGAAGTCCAAAGAATGCAGGAAATATAAACCTTTTTTCCACCTTCGACTGCACTCTACTTGTTAAACGTCTACCTGTTAAATGTCTCATGTTTCATGCAGTCTGTTTTCTATAGACTCTGTTGCTGTTACACAGTCTGACCAGCAGAGGGCCACCATTACGTCAGTCTTATTGACGTAAAGGCGGAAACCAGCAGCAGTAAAAGTTCCAGTTGAGACTTTCAAAATAAAACTCCTACTTTGGAATTAGTGCATTTGCAGTGTGCACCAGGTTTCAGACATTACCGTGGCGCCGTTCAGTCTGTGGTTTATATAGTTTGTGGCCGAGACCCTCTATAATTCATGTATTCAGGCAGGCGCTGGAAGCCGACGGGGGTTCGCTGTTAGCGGTCATGTGATTCCGGCTTGTTGACGCCTCGATCGATACATGTTGCCTGAATACTTCCGCTTTGAAGGATCGCTCCGAGTTGAGTTGAACCTTAAACCAGTCCACAACAAACGGAAGAGAGAAGGGGAGCACGAAGGAGGGGGGCACAATCTCCACCTAAACGGTAAGAACACCGGTACGTGATGTTATAAATAATTTAAATCAACTTTACACAAGAGTCGGTCTCATTTCTGCGGGCTAAGCTAGCGAAATATCGAGCAACAGGTGCGCTAAAGTAGCGTTAGCTCTCGTTTTAGCCACACAAACTACTAACAGAAAAAGCTAGCGTCACTTTAACTGGTATCCAAGGTAATATAGCAAGTTATTCCGGTGTCAGAAAGTGTTCATGTTAGCTTCACTGCAGTTGTTATCCTGTTGTATAACAGTATCAATATGAAAGGTACTGTTGAACGATGAACGCTCGCTAATTTGCACACTAGCTTCGGCTAATGTTAATATCGTGTAAACAACTCAAGCTAATTAGTCTGACTTTGTGCCTACCTTATACAGTTTTATGAGTTTGGTGGATTAGTAATCAGTGGGTTGTAAAAGAGGTAAGGTCAGGTTGCTTTATTACCTGTTAGCTCTCTGACATGTTCGGCTTTGACAGGTGAAGCCTCAGCAGCTGTTCTAGGCGTTATTCAATGAGTTAAACACTAAGCGTACAAAATGTGCAGTTTCCCCCCAAGTGTTTGTTGTGTAGTGCAAACCTGTTTTAGTGTGTATCATGTGCACTCAGCTTTGATGGCGCTGCTGGAGAGTTATTGAAGATTACTAGAGCCTCAGGTCACATGCTGCCTTGTAATCCACAGATAAGCCCTGTGTGGTCGTTTTACAGTAGGAGGGTTTGCTGCTTAGCTGTGAGGTATTCAGAGAAAATCTTCACCTTTCGTGTTAGCTGAATGGCATTAAAAAAAAAACACTCTAACTAACCTGTGTTTTACATCCACAGCAGAAATTCAATCCACTTTAAAGTCATCTAATTATGTTGCAATACTTCAGATCAAACTCTTTCACCGTAGCTACATTCCTGCACTGATCATGGGATCAGCATGAGGCCGAGCTGATACATTTTTTTCTTTTTCCTCACATGCCAGCTTCTCACACTTGTGTTAAACTGTCACACAACTGACACAGGCCTCTCTCATAAGTGATTTTGACGCTAAGGTGCCAAGCAGAGAAAAGCTCTGGATGTCTCAGATCTCTCATAAACGATACAGTATTCAAGATGTTGTCATTGAAACTAAAAATCTGTTTTGCCAGTGTTTGTGTGTAACTAATGATCAGTGTTGGTGTTCAGTTTCTAGGGATTCTGGTTGATTTAAGGGTGCTGGGCACTCACATCCAGCAGCAACATGGGAGAACTCTTCAGAAGTGAAGAGATGACGCTGGCTCAGCTCTTCCTCCAGTCAGAAGCTGCCTACTGTTGTGTCAGTGAACTGGGGGAGATCGGGATGGTGCAGTTTCGTGATGTAAGTCCGATTTGATGCTGTTGTCTTAGTGTTTACAGATTTACCTTGCTTGATAAAGGAAAAAAAAAAAACACTTACTAGTCAGTTGTAATTGTTTTCTGTTGTAATGATAAAAAACCAGCACATCAGGAAACTGTGGAGAAAGGGCATGCCTTCTACATCATGTGCTCACAGCTGACTCCTCATTCCATGCATGAGAAAGCCCATTCCTGACATGTCCTGAGGGAAGCTTTGTGCTTGAATATGAATGGTCTGTAGCGGAGAAGTTCTGTGCATCAGCAGTGGTATCTTGTTCAATTGATAAGACTGTACTCAGACATCCTCCACCAGTTTAAGAATCTATAAATGTTATAAAATAATATAGAAAGGGAACTTATTACACTTCTTGAAGGAGTTAATAGATCAGAAAAAGTCAACTGGCGCTACATTTTTTTTTTTAGATTTCTTCAAAATCATGTCCTGTTGATTGACATTTGTTTTTTTGTTCTTTTCCCCTTGCAGTTAAATCCTGATGTGAATGTGTTCCAGCGAAAGTTTGTCAATGAAGTACGGCGATGTGAGGAGATGGATCGGAAGCTGAGTAAGTGAGCACAGTTATTTCTTGTCAGGGCTGCTTTTTTTTCCCATTACAGGATCCACAGATGGAAATTAAGAATGCTGCCAATCAGTCTTATGTACCACATAATGCCATATTTGACATCTTCCACCCTTCAAAGCTTTAACAAAGGAGGAGGTGGGCCTAAAAGTTTGTGCCCACTTTGTCTAGGAGGAGGGTGGTTCTTTATGCAATGCAAAAATTATTAGATACACACCTGTAGCCCTGTTTTTACCTCGTTTCCTGAAAAAAAAACATTACTCCTCTCTCGCAGGGTTTGTGGAAAAAGAAATTAAGAAGGCTAACATCCCAATAGTCGACACAGGAGAGAACCCTGAAGTCCCCTTTCCGAGGGACATGATCGACCTAGAGGTGACTGTTGTACCTTATGCATGGCTTTAAGTTCAGTCCTCTGCTGTGTCCCTCTGCTGACCCCCACGATTGTCTCCCCACAGGCCACATTTGAGAAGCTTGAAAATGAGCTGAAGGAAATAAACACCAACCAAGAAGCGCTGAAGAAGAACTTCCTGGAGCTGACTGAGCTCAAGCACATTTTGCGTCGCACGCAGCAGTTTTTTGATGAGGTCAGCTTCACTGTCTGTGCACACGGGTCTTGTGTAGTAACATTGTGACAGACTTCAGGAGGAGTGTGGCTTTTACTTTTGTAATTGTTTGTATCAATACCTGTATCATTTAAAGCCACTAAATACAGCTTGAGAACATCCTTTTATGTTCATTGTTTGGTGATTTTAAAATCAAACTGTAATTTGTGAAAGTATATTTGCTATGGCAGTGGCAAAGAAACAAACATTTTCAATCTCACTAATTTCTGGTTTTCATTGGTAGAATACAGATTTTGCTGGTAAGCTTTCTGCACTGATCTCTCCTCTGTCTGTCTTACACTCACAAAGGAGCACTTATTGCTCATTGATTTGGCTAAAAGTGTTTGCACCCGTGATCTTTTACACTTGCTCACATGGCCTTTACGCAAGTTTTTCACATTATTTAAGAAGCTGTAAAGCCACTGCTGTATAATACTTTACACACGATTGCACTCTATGCACACGGTTCATTTGCCAGAACAATTCTTCCACCTTTGCCCAAGTTCAATTCCACTTCACTGCCTTCACAAGCAAAACTGGGTGAGCTCACGATGTTTAGTGATCTTTTACAAGTTGTTACAGGTTTTGATTGAGGTGAATCATTTAGCCCAACACAGACGTTAACTGGGGGAAGTCACTGCCTGTGTTGGAAACAAACACTGGCTTTTTGTTGTTTTTCTGTCTAAATCTCAACATTGATGTTACAGTCGTAAAGGTTTTATAGCAGCAGTGTTCATGCGTGTGTATGGTTTGCAATGTAGTGATTATGTTGGCATAGTAGGTAATGATTTGTTAACTGACTGTCATGCAGATGGAGGATCCCAGTTTACTTGAAGAGTCATCCACTCTCCTGGACCCCAATGAGCCCACCAGAGTTGCTCCACTAAGACTGGGGTGAGTCTATTTCTGTGGTCCTTTTATAATGTGAAAGGATTAGGCTTTTGTTTCTTTTTGAGCTTTCTATTCAGTGTACTTTGACCATCTGTGTCTGGAAGTGGAGTGTTACAATTAGCCAATTGCCTTCTACACTCAGCCTCATGCTGCTCGGCTTAATCAGGCAACGAAGGTCAACTAAGACAAAAATCCATTCAGAATCCACATTCACAAAAGTAATTCCTATTAGTGGAGACATTTCAGTCTGTTATCACCCTGATCAGCTTTTCCTTAAGGCAGAATAAACAGACTCGACTCTTTAATCCTCTCCTACATTCTTGGTAAAACTGTCAACTTATTGTCTTGTTTGAAGGACAGTGAAGCAGATGTTCTTCATCTTTCATTTGCTATTTTGTGAACAACTATAAAGTTGCAGATTGTTTTGTTTTATTACAGGTTTGTAGCGGGAGTCATTGGCCGGGAACGTATTCCCACATTTGAGAGGATGCTGTGGAGAGTTTGCAGAGGAAATGTGTTTCTGAGGCAGGCGGATATCGAAGATCCTCTGGAGGATCCAGCAACAGTGAGTACCGTTTGTAAACGACACTTTTTATCAGTAACTAACTTAATGAGATGAATACAGAGCTGTACTGAACGCATAATTGGTCAGATTAATTGCACGTTACATTTTTTAAAATCACAATTCCTAACTGTGCCATGCTTCCACAGGGCGACCAGGTCCACAAGTCTGTCTTTATCATATTTTTCCAAGGAGACCAGCTGAAGAATAGAGTCAAGAAAATCTGTGAGGGGTATGTGACTCATTTGACAATATTTGTACAGTTTATAAAGGGTTTTGGCCAACAAATATTTTTGTCCTCAGATTCAGAGCAACATTGTACCCATGTCCAGAAACCCCCCAGGAGAGGAAAGAGATGCTTGCAGGAGTGAACGCTCGCATTGATGACCTGCAAATGGTAAATACAAGGAAAGCATGTTGCTGGGTTGACTTGTTGACACTGAGTTGCGAAGAAAAACACGCCTGAACTGGTTAGTTCCTTTTTTTTGTTTCTGCTTGGTCAGCAGGATGTTTTTTCATCAGAAACCGTCTAGAGGAAAATTTGTAAGGCTTGAAGTTAGTAACACACTTCCGCTTCATATTTCGTCATCTTCCAGTCAAGCCTCTTATCCAGATATCTTATAAGTTATTAATAAACTCCATTTGTTGTGTTGTGTATTTGCAACAGAGAAATGTCCTCCAACAGGGAGAGTCTTTCCACAGAAACCACACTGTTGTTGTTGTGACTGTAATGCAGTAATCCCCAGTGACTTGTCTGCTGCAAGATCACGCAGCTCAAGGGAGTCTTTCCTTCCTTCAGCTTTGCAAATGAGTCGTGTCTTGCATCTTTGCCATGTGATGATGCATGCTCCCATGTGGGGTTTGACATCATGTCACACAGACTTGCATAGCACAGATATCATGTGTTGTGTTCTCTGCAGTCTGGCCTACAGATTTTCACACGCTACTCTACTTTGTCAGCCAGATGTGTCAGTTTTGTTTGAGTGTCTTTCGCTCAGATGCTGTAGGATTGCTGACAGATGCTTGATACATGGCGTGCCCCGTGTGGGAGGAATCAATCCTTTCACTGCTCTATATACTGAAGACCATGAATCTCAGTGTTTGTGGATGTAGTGTTGTGCTTGACTGAATGGCAAAAATGCCACGAATGCAGAAGAATGTTTGACTATTGGGACAGCAATCAGCAATATTTGCCTCGACAGCAGGCGGGACTGTGCCTGAAGGCTGAAGGCAGACAGCACAGAGCTTGACTATGTGGCTATTTGCTGATCGTGGTGCTTAGCTTTAAATGTGAGTCATACAGCAGCATATCTGGGGATATACTCTATCCCTTATGGGAACACCTAAAGGATTAGACAGACTGTTGCCCTTAAACATGACTTGTTGATAGCAATCTCTGCCAGTAAATGTAAACTTTATATAAATATCAAGCAACCTATGATGCATTGCTGCTATTTTTGATTTTCTGATTGTATTAGACATTATAATTTACACAGCTGACGCTTTCTTTTGACAGCGTAAGCTATAGTAAATGTAATGATGATTTCTAATAGCTAGAGCTTGCAGATTTTAATAGAGCTTTATTCAGGTGAACTTGGTAAACTGGAGAGTTTCTGATTAAGAGAGAAAGGACCTATCATTACTTAAATATATTTGCAATTCCTAGAAGAAAACAAGTTGAAGCAACATGGCAGGGAAGAGTATTGTCTTCCCCTGTCAACAACAAGCAGGGTTTTTAAAAAGAACCTTTATAACATTTTTGTTAAACATGTGTTTTAATAGGAAGGTCTCAGACATTAAAAAATAATTTTCAGTCTCATGCCCAAGAAAGGCAGCAAGACAGGCTACCTGAATAATGACACAACATTTAGAATTTACCCAAACATCTAGAAGATTTCATTTAAACTATCACCATTTCTCACCCCCAAAGGTGCTTAACCAGACTGAGGATCACAGGCAGAGGGTCCTGCAGGCCGCAGCCAAGACAGTCAGAGTTTGGTTCATCAAGGTGAGGAAGATGAAGGCCATCTACCACACCCTCAACCTCTGCAACATCGATGTCACTCAGAAGTGTCTGATCGCTGAGGTGTGGTGTCCCGTCTCCGACCTGGACTCCATCCAGTTTGCTCTGCGCAGGGGGACGGTGAGTAACCGAGAATCAGACAATTTATGTTTGGTAAACTGGACAGTTTTGTTCAAGGAAGAAGGATGTGTGTGAAAGAAAAATGTTGATATCTCTGCTATCATCTAGTTGTGCGCATAGTGTAGCAACACAGGTTTGGCTGTGTTACATTTGGCGTCATCTCAAGGCCATGTTCTGTCTCAAGATCTGTCATAACAGTTGAAAAAGCAGCAGTGCAATTCTCATTTCTGTACAACTTTGGTCATTTCAAGCACACGATCTCCTTCTTGGAAAGATTAGTAGACTTTTACAGTATCTCAAAGATATTTGTCATTTGCTTTGTTGCAGACTTCGTAATTTGTATTTCTAATCATCTTCTGTCATGTTCTAGTAGTTGGTGAAAGTAAAGAAATGTGTGCCATAATTTTGGGTTGTGTGACGTTGTTTTCTGCATCGTAGGAGAAGAGCGGCTCCACCGTGCCTTCCATTCTCAACAGAATGCAGACCAAACAGACCCCACCCACCTATAACAAGACAAACAAGTTCACCTCGGGCTTCCAAAACATTGTGGACGCTTATGGAATCGGCAGCTACCGTGAGATTAACCCAGGTATGTCCCACACCTTGCTGTAGGTTTACACAACTCAGACCTCTGTACGTCATTACCTGGCATATCCATGTGGACGTTGTTTGAATAAGCCTGTTTATCCAGCTGGCTGTGGTATTAAATTACAGTCACTAAAAGGCTTTTGTCTCAGTGGCCTCATCATCCATTATCGTCTTGTTGACATGTTTCACTCATTTGTTGTTTCATACCACCGTCCACTCCCATGATGCCTGCCTCCTTGTCTCCAGCGCCATACACCATCATCACCTTCCCCTTCCTATTTGCGGTCATGTTTGGTGACCTGGGCCATGGGACGCTCATGACCTGTGCTGCTCTGTACCTTGTGTTGAGGGAGAGCAGGCTGATGGCCCAGAAGAACGATAATGAGGTATGAAGCCCATTATCTTCATCCCATCAGTCCGACACCATCCTCACTGGTGATCACAGCCGCTGAGCTACAAAGGATCCGATGGTTCTTTATGTTCATAGCTGCAGAGATTCATTTTAGACACCCTGTCGAGCAGCTGTTTTTACCCTGCTTAGAGATGCATGTTTTCTCCTTAGATTTAAATATCTTTTCTTGCGGCAGATATTCAACATGGTCTTTGCGGGGCGCTACATCATCCTTCTGATGGGAGTCTTCTCAATGTACACCGGCATCATTTACAATGATTGTTTTTCCAAATCTCTAAATGCATTTGGCTCTGGATGGAGTGTCAAACCCATGTTCATTCCTCAAAAAGGAGGCAACTGGACGTAAGTGTCACTGGCAAACATTGACTGGAGCTTTAACCCAGTTACTTCTGTGCCACTTCAGTGCATTTAAGTCAGAAAACTGATCTGTGCTTGTATCATGCTTAGGTTTGACACACTCACTGGCAATGCAGTTTTGCAGCTGGACCCAGTAGTAGAGGGAGTCTTCAACGGGCCGTACCCCATTGGCATCGACCCAGTAAGTTTTTTTTCCCCTTCGTAATCTGTATTCTCCTGCTCCTGCTAAGCAGAAATTAGCTTAGCTGTTACTCATCACATGCTTTCAAGCCATGTCTGTGCCATTAGGTGTTGAAATCTAACAGTTAATGACAATATTAACATACAGTTGCTTGTATAACCAGATATTTTATATAACTTGACTATATTGTCTTCTAGATTTGGAACATTGCTGTCAACAAGCTGACATTCTTAAACTCCTTCAAGATGAAAATGTCTGTTATCCTGGGAGTCATCCACATGCTGTTTGGAGTCTCTCTGAGTCTCTTTAACCATCTGTATGTATACTTATGTATACTTGCATTTCTTGCTTTGTTTCCCTTTGAATTTGTGCATTGTTATCACACTGACCAATCTGTAATTTGTGGTTCTCTGCAGGTATTTCCAGAAGCCGTTGAATATCTACTTGGGATTCATTCCGGAAATCGTTTTCATGGCCAGTCTGTTTGGCTACCTAGTCATTCTAATCTTCTATAAGTGGGTCTCATACGATGCTCGGAGCTCCAGGGATGCTCCCAGTCTCCTCATTGCCTTTATTAACATGTTCCTCTTCAACTACGATGACCCCAGTAACAAACCGCTCTACAGAGGACAGGTAAGAATCACATCCTACAGCCACATTTTTATCTTGAAATGAATACAGCATTCTAACTGTCCTGCTTTTGCTTGTTTTCCTTTCTTTCCTCTGGATGTGTAGATGGGTCTGCAATCATTCTTGGTGATCATCGCCTTGGCATGTGTTCCCTGTATGTTAATAGTAAAAACTCTGGTTCTGCGGAGACAGTATTTGTGGCGAAAGCATCTGGTAAGATGATGCAAATCTTTAGTCACTACCACTCTGGAGTAAATGTACTAGTGCAGTTACAAATAGAGTACATGGTCATTTATTCACTTTATTGTATTATTTTTTCCATTCTGTTTGACAGGGGACACAGAACTTTGGTGGAATCAGGGTGGGCAATGGACCCACTGAGGACGAGGCTGAAATCATCCAGCATGATCAACTTGCGCAGCAATCCGATGAAGAACCTGAGGTAAAAGAGAGTAGGACTGATGTCAAACGTTGAGTTAACAGTATTTCTACTAACTGGCTACACTTAGAGGCAACGCCAGGCCAGATGTTTGGTGAGGGAGGTGGGGAAGACACAGGTTATAGGATCCACTTAAATCTTTGAATAATTCAGACTCTTAGCCAGAGTTGGAAACAGAAACTGATACCTCTGTTTCCATTTCCACTCTGACAACGAAAACATCAATTATAGATAAAGGTTCCATTTGACAAAAAGGTTTAACAAGCTCCAATGTGGGTCTTTTATGAAATTAAATTAAAGCTTTTACAGATGCGATTGAGAAATTATACTGGAAAAAAAAACATCACATACTTTGTCGTTTGCTTGGTGTTACAGTTCTGTTTCTTCCATCCATTCACTTTTGTGTACACTTACTTGAAATTATGTGTAACTTCCTGGGAAGTGCTGAGCTGTCAGATTTTAGCTGTAGATCCTGCGGAGCTTTGACAATATCGTGAAACAGCTGCTGAGTAGTGAGTTTTTCTTATAGAGACTTCATAGTTAAACTAATCCAATTCTCTTTAGGTTTAAGATGATCTGACTGTATGTGTGGGAAGAATGTTGTCATTCTCTTATGCTGGTTTCATCCTTTTTCTGTTTTAATGAGTAACTAGTTTCTCTCGTTACTTCCCCGTTTACTGACGTCTGTGTGTCCATATGTGTGTTTGCTGTCAATAATGAAGCGTTGCCTTTTGTCACCTGCTTTCAAGGCCCCTGAGGAGGAAGAGGTAGGACAGGAGCTCACGCTGCACCTCCACCCTGCAACCTATCCTTTCCTATCAATGTGCATGTCTAGCAAATCTATCTTTTACTCCCCCTCGCTTTGCCGTCAACCGTTGCCTGTGCCTCTTAGTTATGTCAGTGTACGTTTGTGTTAGTATGTGGTTGGTGTGTTCCAGATGTTTCTTGGCGAAAATGGTTTGCAGGGGTTCATCAAGCAGTGGGCGCCAGTAGGCCAGTGCTTCCCTGCTATCTTGGTGATGTGCATGAGGCATCAGCAGAGCAGCTGTTTGGGTTCGCAGGGTCCTAAGACGACGACTTTTAATTTTGGGTTTTGGTTGCTGATCTTCATGTGGCAAATGGCTTTCCTGTTGATTACGTGAATCATCTTGCACACACAATGAACCAGACTCCTCCTTTGTGGACCTTGGGACCTGTATTTCGTGTTGTTTTCTGGAGTTTCATGCTGACATGTAGCTATGTTTATCCACAGTTTAACTTTGCGGATATGGCAGTGCATCAGGCGATTCACACCATCGAGTACTGCCTGGGCTGTATCTCCAACACTGCTTCCTATCTGAGGCTTTGGGCCCTCAGTCTGGCTCATGCACGTAAGTGGACATAGATGCTTAAATTGATATGCTTGCATTCTGGAGTTTATCACAGCAGTGAAATCATCATGTGCTTCCTTTGTCTCATGTACAGAGCTGTCAGAGGTGCTGTGGACCATGGTGATGCACCTTGGCCTTTCCAGTAGGAGCCTTGGAGGATTCATCCTTCTCTCCTTAATCTTTTGCTCCTTTGCTGTTCTCACAGTTGCCATTCTTCTTATTATGGAAGGCCTGTCTGCCTTTCTGCATGCACTGCGTTTGCATTGGTAAGTCGACTGTTATATGTTTGTTGAATCTGGTCTTGTAGATCTGTTTTGTGTCTGCCTTAATATCAAGCTTGATTTCACATTCATATGCTGCCTTTGTGAAGGTTTTACTGTTTGAAACGCCTGCTGATTTATGAATTTCTGAGACTATTGTTGGTGTTTCGTGACAGATTAAGATCTGATCTAACCTGTGTTTAGAGGGCACCTCAGGTCTTCCTGGGTGAAAAGTTGATCTTCTATCTCTTCTAATGTCATGTAAACACAAGCACTGCAAACCCCAAGGCTAGAGCTCCACCTGCAGGCTACAACTTTTATCATGTCACTGTTTGTCTGTTGATCATCCCAGGGAGGACAGAGACAGATGTGCAGGAGGTGGAGCTACTGGTTTTCTGTGCGAGTGGTTTAAAACTATGGAAAATCATTTTGGCATATTTTTTTGTGCATATGGAACCTGGACTGGCTTGTTTACCTTAAAAAGGAATCGATTTAGTGCATTAGTTTGTACTGCTGTAGGGTATGTTTAATGTAGTAAACAACCACACATTTAATAAGTTGCAGAGAGAGAGGAATTGCTTTGTATTACTACACAGAAATTGCATGTATAACTGAGCAAACAAACAACAAAATTCCAGATTAAGAAGATCCATCTGACAGATTTGCTGTTTACGGTACATGTACAAACAGATGAAAATTCACGACAAGTTATGTAAGAAGCACTGCTTACATTATGTAACTACAATACCAAAGTGCTTCAACCTGCTGTGGGGCCACTACACCTCAGGTAACCAGTAGGTAGCCACCCAGGGTGTGTCCCATTTTGCATTTCCCATGTCTGGCTCTTGTAAGCATTATGCTATTTATTTATGGTGCGTGTGTTGTGTGCAGAACAGTCTACGGCTTTTTGGCATGACACAAACAAGCTTTTGTTGTCCCTTAATAAATGTCTTTGTCTGGCTACGCTGAATGTCACCCTGGTGTCATAATCCACTGGCACATTTTCAGAGCATTCCCGTGTCGGCAGCCGGTCTTCTCGATAATTGTCCTTTACACAGGAATGCCGGACGAGTGTGCTTTCACTAAATGGCTTTCCTGTTCAATCAGTTGTAGTTTTTGAACAAAGGGAAGCTAATATAAATCCCCAAGCATAATATTTTGTTTCCAATCAATGTATCAGCGAGTAATTTGACTACTGAAGCGCAACAACGATTCAGTTCTCAGTAGTCAAAATGCATATTCACTGGCCTTGCTAGAAATTCTTCCAGGTGCTGAGTTGCCCTGGACATCCTAATCAAACACTACTGAATTGTCTGACTATATGTATGGAACAATATACACATCAGTTCACGAAAACAGTAGGAAGCATGTGTTTTTTAAATTTAAAAAGAAAGAATGAAAGTAAACTAATGGATTAAGAATTAATGCAGCACGTGAGTTCTGGAAATTAGTCACTACACCTAAGACTTGTAGATGCCCTCAATTTTCAAAATCTTGGTGTCCTTTTGGAAACATTTTTAAGCGCTAATGGACAGCGTGCCAATTCTGCTCTCAGCATATCTAAGCATTTTTGGTAAGAAATTAGCCCAGGAAGTTATCAGCAGTGATATTTTGTTAAATCGCCATCCCCACCTCGTCTACTCTCCTACACCAGACAGCCTGTGGAATGACAGGTATTCATGGCTCCTCAGTTAAAGGTCATCCAGCCGTCACTTAGCATTGGCCTTTTAAAAATAGAGCCTGATCATGTTCCAGAAGGGAAGGGGCTTATGTGTCTGGCCCAGGTCGTAGACATCGGCGGGTGCAGGTGGGTACAGACCGTGGAATGAAGAGCAGGGGTCATCAGCGGCGACTGCTCCGCTCAGCATTACCTAACCCCACAGTCATCGTCACTGTATGCGCGACAAGGTTATTGTGTGAAAGGCTTTCCTGGTCATTGTGTTTTTTGACTGGATCTCTGTTTTCCCCACAGGGTGGAGTTCCAAAACAAGTTTTACTCAGGCCAAGGCTTTAAATTCCTCCCCTTCACCTTCGAAAGCATCCTGGATGGAAGATTTGAGGATTAAGATGGCTCTTCTTCTTCTCTCATCCCTTGAGAAACTGTGTGGTGTTGTATAGTGATTTTTTTGTGTGTGTGATGCAGTTTCCACTTACCCCAGTGTTACCATAATTCTATGAATTACCCCACTCATCAGACTGTCTGCCAGACTGCCATTTAATTTAAACTTTTCACTCTCATTCATTCCTCAAAATAGCCTTGAGTGTAATCTGTTGTCTTGTCTTAGTGAAGTCTTTTCATTTTACCTGTGTTTTATTTAGTTTCATATTATTTATGCTTTTTTTTTTTTCCTTTATAGAACCTACATTTTTCCTTTGTGGGAGTGTTGCACTCCGAATCAATTTCAATGAGATCTGCCATTTGATGACTGATGATATTGACCAATTTAGAGAGTGACATAAGTGTTTCCTACTTTCTGATACGTCGCCTCCAAACTGTTGTACACCCATTGTCCTTGCCTCTCTAAATAAGCATTCTTTATCAGCATTCATTATCTTGTGCACTGAGCAGTTCATCTGTTTTACTTCAACAACAAACCGCCACTTTGCAAACTGACCTCACACACAGAGCTATACAGCTCCAAAGGGAATACAGCTTAGCTTACAGGATGTGAGCCATTTCTTTGAGAATGACAACAAACCGACTTCATCATCCTTCTGACTTTGCCATAGATAGCCGTTGCATATATTTCTCTGTTCTCTCTGTCGTTCTAAATGGAGGAAAAAAAGGAGAATGTTTAGGCGTAGAGTAGGTGGATGTTTGGTAGCAATCCAGCGCACTGAAATCATTCGACAGTGTCAGTCTTGCTCTTGATTTTGGTTACTTATGCTAATTTCATGTATGTTAAAATTTCAAACGTTATCTCCGCACTTACTGAAGGGAGTTAGAACGGCAAACAGCACACATGTTAATATAGAGTTAATATATCAGAGATGGTCGAGCACCCCCAATAATTGTGCATCTCTTCGTCAATAAAGTGGAAAGAGCTGGTTTAAGTTGTGTCTTTGGTTTGACTTTTTTTCTTTCATGAAGTTTGTACTGCAATGATGGAAGTTGCCGAAGCTTTGCTGAAGTAAACGCATTACGACCAAACTATAACAAGGTTCTGTTCCAAGTAAAAGTCTTAGCTTCAAAATCCAGTTTATGTAAATTTACATAAAGTATCAAAGGAATGTAATTTTATCTTGTTTTGCCAGATATATTGTATATACAATATAAAAAAAACAAAGAAATGTTGAAATCTGTGTAAAAAAAGATGGTTTTGTTTGAAATTTAAAGCAACTTCTGTTTAAAGCTGCTGTATAAATAAGTTTCTTGGACAGGTCTTGAAACAACTAAGCACAAAGTGGATCCCTGCATCAGTAAAATCAAAAATGAAGCAGTTGTAGACAATACTGGATACAAGGTTTACATATCCTTACCATGCTGGGGACAGTTTTAGGAATATAAGACTAAATAGTTAAGGAATAAAGTCATTCGATAAACTACTTGTATTTTATACTGTCCTCACCTGTAAAATAACTTGAGGAATCGAAATAAATGTGGTGAAGCAAGAAGTGCAAGATTTTCTCTCTGACTACAAGTAACGCTTAACCTCAGTACAATACCTCAGTAAATGTGTGTTATACTGTGCACCACTGATTTCCAGGGTTTGGTACAGGTCGCGCAAGGAGAAGAAAAAACAAAAGGAAACAAACAAATATAAACAGAACAAAATTGGGTGTACAAAGGGCAGCAGTATACATTGTTGCTTCACTAATACATCACAATCCAACAGGCTTTCAGGGTTGAGGTGAGTGGCCCACTGTTGGCATGTTAGAGTGGTCGCCCAGCTGGGCAAGATGATCTATGAATGGGTGCCATATGGTGTAAAATTAATTAAGATTGTCCATCACGCTGTATCGGATTTTTTCCACATGCAGTAAACAGCTTAGTTCTGTTCGCCACGCCTTGAACTGAGGCGCAGCGTCCGATTGTCAGAGTCTTAGAATCAGTCTCTCAGCGATTACCATTCCACACATGATAGTACTCTGCTCTGAGAGGCTGTGATTTTGTAGGGACATAGCCAAACAGCACTATCTCTGGGTTAGGGCTAAACACAATCATACATTTCAGAAAACCATTTGAATATTTCACACCAGAAGTTGTGCAGTTTTGGGCAAGTCCAAAAAAGGTGGCCTAGAGAGCCCTCAGCAGATCCGCACCGGTCACACAAGGGGAAGATTGTAGGATAAATTCTAATACCCTCTTTACCTCGAAATGGTGGATATGTAACCTCTCCTCTTGGTGGTGCTATTGAATAGCATGTGCAGTTGCAGTGGTCCATGTGAAATGAGAATTTTATTTTCCCGTCTATGTTAGACGTTGTAATGAAAACACAGTTGTCTTTGACAAATTAATTATTTGGATTATTTGCTTTACTACTGAACTTTGTGCCTGGAATAGGATACTGACCATCATTTAACAAACTGAAAGGAAATGACCCACAAGTAAACAGTAGTATGGTGTGTACAGTTATATGTTTTGTGCATAATGAGCCTTTTTTAAGACGTGTCTGTTGCTCATGCACTGGGTTTGCTCAGTCTAGTCATCTAAAGGCTGTTATATCATAATGAGTCAAACAAAATAATAGAACCATCCCTTTGTGTCCACACCCTTTTTTTGTAAAGGATTTGTTTTCAGCCCTGTAGGAAAATTACAGCTTTAAACAATTGTAACTATTCATCATTCAATGAGGTGGAAGATGTACCTGGATGTAAAGTGTAGAAATAATCTGTTTATGAGTAGAAGTCATTCTTTTAAAAGCTTGCTCAAGTAACAGAACAAAAGTAGTGGCAAAATATACTTAAAGAACCAAAAGTAAAAGTACTCACTGTACAAAATGACACTTTGATGCACTGGTTGGTTGGTGAATTAATGCATGCATCATTTTAATGTTATAATACATAAAAGTGGGCTAATTTTAATGATTTGCTTGTCGGCAGCTTTGGAATCAATATCTTAATGTATAGTAATGTTTTATTTGTTTATTATGTTTTGTAGATTTTTTTTTTGCTTCCGCGTATGCAACAGCCAAGGTTAGAGGCATTATGTTTTCTTATAAACACAATACGTCTTGAAATAACAACAAATGTTCCTGAGCTCCAAGTGAACAAATGTCTACTTGGACTTGAGGATGAACTCCTTTGATTTTGGTGTTCAAGGATCGAAGGTCAAGGTCACTCTGACCTCACATCTGTCCCATCCTTTAGAACCCAATAAATCAGGAATGTCTGGTGGGAACTTCATTACATCTGGCACAGATGTCCTTCTTGGACTCAAGGATAAACTGATTAGAATTTGGTGGCCAAAGGTCGAGGTCACTGTGACCTCATAAAACCATTTCTGGCCATAACTTGAATATTCATGTGCTTATGAACAAAATTTCACACAACTGTCTTGTGGGAGAAAATAATGATGTGACAACATTTATATCCATGAGGTTAAAAGTCAAGTCTAGACAGACATTGATGTAAAGTGCAGCTTAACCCGTTGGCAAAACATTGGAATGCGAGGTGGTAGCTCTAGTTTGTAGCTAAAATGTAGTAGAGTAGAAGTGTTAATTAGAAAAGTATGGAAATACTCAAATAGTATTTTTATTTAGCATTTATTTAAGCAGGTTAGTCCCACTGAGAGTAGAGATCTTCTTTACAAGGAAGACCTGGCCAAGATGGCAGCAGCATAGTCGCATTAAAAACAATAAACAGCAGATAAAATTGAACAACATTAAAACTTGCTCATATATAACACTTGCACACAGACAAAGTAGACTGTAGAGACTTTACCCGAACTTTAAACTTGTTCAGTGTAACAAGGGCTTGAAGTTGAAATTGACATTGCAATTTATTCCAGGCATTAGGTGCAGAAAACCTAAATGCTTTCTTGCCCAATTCAGATTGGACTTTGGCGACGACAAATCGCAGAGTATCCATAGATTGGAGATTGTGACTTCCATGTCTTCTTGTTTAAAGACAAGACAAATAGGAAGGAACAATACCCAGAATGGTCCTGTTAAAAACATTTACCAGTGACTGAGATGTCAGGTACTTATAGATGTCCAATTAACTTTAGAATAGAGTACACAATGGTGAGTGAGGGGACCACGTCTGACAATGAATCTCTCAAAGTATTCTCAAATTGTATTACATAGTACTTGAGTAAATCCACTTACTCAGTTACTTTTGACCACCATAATTTAGCTCTTGAACAAACCACCAGTCAAACATATTAGGGGCATTTTTTGAGGTGTCACTGCCAACACAAAGTCTAACACTGTGTCTCATCCTACCGGCAACTTGGGAGGCCTGACTATAAAAACCTTCAGCCACTCAGGGATTAGGAACATCATGTTCTCTATTCACATGTTGTTGTTTTTTCTGCTATACAACAGCAGCACAAAGTAGTAACAGAGATCTGTATTTATCTAAGGGTTGTTTTTTTTTTTAAACTTCTGAAAAGCTCGTTTAATTTGATATTTCCCAGTGTGTCATGTACAACCAGGGGTGAGAGCAAGCTTGCATAAGAGCCCCAGAAATCCTGCTGTGTTTACACTTCCAGGGACCTTAACTCGGCCGTTTCAAAGCAAAAATCCCAATGAGAGCGAGCTTATTATTTTGCTTCTTTATCTAAGGCAAACACTGAGTGCACTTTAGTTTGGCAGAAGACTGTCTCTAGGAATGTTGTGCTTCTTGAAAGGTTATAGTACATTTTTCTTTGGGATAACAGCGATGCTTTCGCAGCTGTTCTAGTGCTGCAGGCCTTGGTGTCCTCTTTATCCATGCAAGCACAGGAAAACAGAGCTTCATTATATTGTATTAGCCAGTTAGAAACAGCTACACCAATGTCAGCTGAGGACCTTGGTGTACAAAATCAGTTTTCTATTTCACGGCCTGCAAAAGAGCTCCAGTATCTGTGACGTTCTGTGTATGAAACGACAGCGCTGTTTGCAAATTACTGAGCAGAACGTCTGTAGCCTGAAGAGCCCAAACTACAGAATGTTCCTTGAGTTTGGATTTGCTATATTCTCTTTGGCGTGACTCTAACATCTTGTGCATCTTTGTGGGATGACAGACTCATGAGAAGGATTTTTTCCTTCCTCTTTCCAAGGTACACTGCAGCTGTGGAATAATATTGATGTTCTCCTTTCTTCTGTTTTCCACCCACACATATTTTTATGCCCAGTGTTAAACTCTTTGTCAAAGAAATTAAATAAAACAAACAGACCTCATATAGTCCATGCCACTGTGTTGTTGTCATGGAAACTATGAACATTGCACATCGATGAAACGTCTTAGACAGACTCACTACAATTCATTCAACATAAAGAACCAAATTCATAAATAAGAAGGAATCTTACCTGAAAGTGTGGAACAGAATCTATAAATCTCAAAAAGTCTCCCTTTTATATCACAGTTTAAAATGCCTTTCTTGCTACTAACTCTGGATTTTATATGAACATATGCAATCTGACTTGACATGAATTTTCTAGAGACTTAGCTGCCCCCTTAATGCTACCCTAACCTTAAACCTTGACCCTTTCCTCCTGTGGTAGGCTGAGGGGCCCTGATGGTAAAAGCATGGCCACCCTTAGATTTAACCTTAGAACGGTCAAAAGGCCCCACTTGAGGATGTAAGGCTGCAAACTGGCATCATATGGGGTCAATATTATTATTATTATACAGCTTTTGACCAGACCCTCCTTAGTTTAAAGGTGATCAACTGAATCTTCAAATCAATTCTAAAATTAAAAGGGAACCAGAGAGGGGACGCCAGGATTTTGTATTCTGAGCTGGTTCGAGGCGAGAGAGTGACCTGTGGGAAAGGAGGGAGTTACAGAAGTCCAGTCTTGAGAATATTAATGCATGAATGACTTTTTCCAGGTCACTGTATGAGAGAAATGATTTGAGTCTGGAAATGGTACTTATTTGAATGAAGCAGGACTGGACAGTTTTTTTGATCT